CACTTTGGAGAGCCAGGCAGTACACAGACCTATTGCCTTCATGGGTTTGTTGTCTAAAAGTTTTTAAGCATATATTCTTGAAGCAAAAATTAAATGTAGATATATATAAAGTGTATGTATCTCCTGAAAAGTCAGTATAAACCTTTGTATGCATTTAAATTGTTTTAATATAAATAATATATCTTTTTTAGATGCTGGTAACTTTTTTAAAGTTTACTTACGCATTCATGCAACAAATATTTATTGGTGCCTTCCCTGTTCTAGGCCAGAGGTTGGCAAAGCTTGTCTGTGAAGTGCCCCATGGCAGACATTTCTGGCTTGGGAGCCACACTGCCTCCGGCGACTCCCCAGCCCTGCCGTGAGTGCAAAGCAGCCCAGGGGTGAGCGATGGGTATGGCCGTGTGCCAGCAGGACTTTATTTACAGATACTGAAATCTGAATTTAAAACAATTTTCATGTGTCACGAATTTTAAGTATTGATTGTTCTTTCCATTTTTTTTCCCCAACCATTTAAATATATTAAAACTATTTTTAGTTTGCTGTCCTACAAAAGCACAGGCCATAATTTGCTGACCCCTGTTCCCAGCAGTCGTCTGGACACAGAGCGATGACCAGAACAAAGTCCCTGTGGTCATGGCCTGTGTTTCAGTGTCCTGCAGGACTTGACGTGCCACTGGCTTGCATGGCTGGAGAGCATGCCTTTAGTGACATGGCCTCTCTCATCAGACGAGTCCAGGTTCAGCGTTTCAACCTGTCTGACTGTACTTCACAAATGAGTTTGGCACGTAAATCTGCCAGTCAGCAATATCCTTGTCATGGATTTTTTTCTGTACCGTGCCATTTACCAGCCTACATTTTTCTTCCCTGTTAATACCTTGTCACCATGGGGGTACAAGGCCTGTAGTAAGCGGCTGAGCCCCAGTTGCTGACTCCACAACTCAGCAATTCAAGGTGCTTTATTGCCAGGGTGGTCTTGGTGGCCTGGTCGGGACACCAGTGCCCTGCAGAAGAGCTGGCTGGCCCTGCTGAGTCTGCACTCCAGTGCTCAGTGCAGGGTTCTTTTAAGGCAGTGTTGCAACAAACGGGCTCACGCCCTCTATTTGTAGTAGCCATGGAAACGTTAGAAGCTCTCTTTCCAAAGCTAAGCATACAATAAAGCACTTCAAATGTTGGTGGGATTAGAGACTTTAGAAGATGTTTAATTTTCTCCCCCACTCTTTCTTTCTCTCTGTCTCTTTAGAGAGGGAACAAGAGGGCAATGTGAATATTAACTCAGACTGGCTTTAATCTCGCTCGTGACACTTCAGACTGTCTAGGTCTGCGCAGCTGCACACTAAAAAGGAGCGTCATACATATTCATGACCCAGGGCTGCGGATTAGACACGGTTCTTCAGGCTGTATTTTACAATGTTTCTCTTTTCAACTCAAATTTTGTGAAAGGAACAACTACAAAAAATTGATTTTGTAACTATTCTTAAGTCCAAAACCCTAGATACTAGTGCTAAAATGTTCTCTTTGGAAATAGGAACAGCTCAAAGGAGGCTTGTGGTATTTGATTTATAGACAACACAAACCCCAAAATGTTGGTGCTCACGTAGGGAGTAGAGCAGACTTCTCACGTCTGTTTTAGAAGAATGTGTGGCAGCAAAGAGGGTTCTAACTTCCTGAAGTCCTCCTTAGAAAAGAAAGGTGAATTTCCCTTATGACATATAAGAGTGTTAAATAATACATTTAAGTGAAGAGTTTTGGGGCTTTTGCTGTTGTTCATTTGTTTGTTATTCCTGATTTTCGAGGCACTAGAAAGGAGCTGGCTTCTAAGTGGTCTTGTAGCCGCGCTTCCTCCCAGCCCCCACCCGACTTTCACATCTTTCTGCGCTTGGAACACTAGTTTTGGGAGAAGACAAAAATGCCTTTTCTGCTTTGAGCTTCAGCGCCGCTTCTGTCAGGTCGCCAGTTCAGTGGCTGTGCCAAGAGCCTGCTGCTGTGGAGTCTGACTGTTGTATTTTGTCCCGCAGCAGCTTGTGTGCCTGCGCCCGGGCTGGGGCGGGACCACCCTGCAGCCAGAGCCGCGCCCTCGCCTGCGGGCTCCTCTTCAGCCCCGGCTTTCTATGGGCCTGTTCCTTGCGTGTGGAGTGGGCGTCGTGGACAGAAATTAGCCACCAAACATTTTAAGAGTGAATTGCTAACAATATTTTCACAAAATGTAATAGAAAAGTTGCCCGTCATTCTAAGACAAACATGGCTAAAATCCACTCCTCCGTCCACTTGGAACTTCTGGCATTCTGTTGTTATGGACCTTTTATTCACACAGTCCGGCTTCCTTGCTTGGCTTGCATTTATGTTGCTTTACTTTCGTCTAGTCTCTCAAATCACGCAAAGCCCTGAGTCAGGGACACACAGCCTGCGAGGGTCGCCGCAGTGCCACGGCCGCGCCGAGGGGAGCAGAGGTACTCTCGCCCCTGCGAGGTCGGAGCTCACAGCACGTCCAGGCAGACAGAGACGCAACACATAATCGTAGCTCACACAGCTTCCATACACACGTATTAAACATCCACTTTGTGCCAGGAACTAGCCTGGGTGCTGGGGACACAGAAGTGACTTAGATGCGGCTCTTGCCCTTCACGAGCTCACAGACGCACACACAGAGGAATGTGGCACAGTGTGCTGAGAACAGTGACAAAGTGCGGGTGAGAAAACGGTTTGGAATCACAGCGGGCGCACCTAACGTAAGCTGTGTCAGGAAGTAGCGAGGACAGTGAGGAAAGTCTTTCAGGAGGAGCTGACACTTAGCCGAGTCCTGAAGACTGAGTGTGCCCTGTGAGGAAGGCAGCCGCAGCAAAGGAAGCACCTCCCAGCTCCGGGACCCACAGGCGTGTGGAGACAGGAGGCGAGGCCCAGTGAGCCTGTGAGGGGAGGACACTGGCAGAGGTTGGCAGGGGCTGTTTGGTGACGGTGCCTTCCTTTAGAGAGTCTGTGTTTGCAACTGGCAGTGATGGTGCTGGCATCGATTCCTCCATGACTGAGCCAACCAACCCTCCAATTTCAGGAGCTCTCAATGCATTCATGGGAATTTCAGTTTTCCTACTTTCCATTATACTTAAGTGAATAACCAGGAAGTTTGCAGAAAGAAGAAAAGTATTCTGCCATTAGAGTGTTATTATGCATATGAACTGAAATACTCCAGTCTTATACCTTTTCTTGCTCCTCAGTCAGTTCTCATAATCACTGCCTCCTGTTTTTCTATAAAAAATGGGAAATGAATTTGTATAATGATAGTGTCATCCTGGGTGTGAAATATTAGTTGCAGCAAATAGTTCATTGTTCAGAAATTCACTAATAACGTTGGAAGTGCTTGATACCTGAGATCGCTATTTTTATTTTCTATACTGGCGTGGTGTGGGGGTTCAGTGATTGTAGGAAAGGGGGAAACTCAGATCTAGGTTGTATGTGTTTGAGTATTTGCACAGATTCTGGCTCCAGAAAAGAAACAGAGCTTTGTGGAGGACCTTGACTTTAGCATGAATGGATGGCGAATCAATGACAAAATGAGAGCATTTTCCCCACCAGAGGTGGGTGACTAATTACAGGCCTCGTTCTGTGCTATCCGGAAAAGGCCCGTCACCCCCATAGGCGGTTTCGACAGTGAGCCTCCTGAGGCCAGCAGGCCGCCCACTCAGCAGACGTTGGTCGGTGCCCTTCTGTGTGCCAGGTCTGTGTGTAGTCCCAGGGCCCCAGAGATACGAGACCCATAGCCCCTGACGTGGAGGAGCTGGGAGGGGCGGGCCAGGGGCTTAATGCGGTGACCAGGGAAGCAAAGCGCCCGGCTCACCGGGGAGGACTGTCAGGATCACCAGCCGACTGGGTGTGTGTCGGAGGGACTGGGATGGAGCAGCCTTTTGAAGCCTGAAAAACACCTCCTGAACATGCCACATGCCACTGCTTCTACGTTTCAATCATCTGACTTTGATGGACAGGTTCATTTTTTTTTTTTACTCTTCTTTCTTTCTTTCTTTCTTTCTTTTTTTGAAACATACTGGAATGGGAAACACCTGCCGATCATCCTGTGCAAGGGCTTGTTGTTCTCGGGGTCTCCATCTACTCATGGGCAGGGAGACCTCTTTCTTTAGAAAAGTATTTACTCCACCCTAGGTTCTTTGTTCTTTCTGGACCGGGGTGCCAGGCCCACAGGGACAAGGCCAGTCCTCAGCGGTCTCTTACATGTCCCTAGATCCAACCACTAAAGACCTGTGACCTACCACAGTTTTTGTACAGTCCTTCATAGAACTGAGTATGATAGCAATGTAGTGCTTGCATGAGGTGTACGCCGCTCTGGCGATTAAATCACGTGCTTCAGTCAATAACGCAGCAATGCCATCCCAGTCCTCGTGAGTTGTCTCAGTCTGGCGTGCTGGACACTGAGTGGTGGGCATGGCCAGGCAGGAGGGCCAGGTGCCTTGAGTGCCCAAGTATTCAGAATAAACTCGGCAAGTCCTTCAGAGGCCTTCTCGCTTCGTCTTTAGCCTGCTGAGCGGGGACATGCCGTGGTGACTCCTAGGAAACGATTCTTATTTATAACTGGGCTCTAGTTAAACAGGATGATTTTCCTGTCAGACTCCAGCCTGACATCTCTGCGACTGATGCTTTAGTGTTCCTCTTATGCTTTCCGCGGTGACTCGGCAACACAGTCATCCAGCAAAGGGGTGTGTGCGTGTGTTTTTGTGTTCATAAACTTCAGTTTAGCTACTCTAAAACTCATTCATTCTGAGTAAGTACCTCTGGGTGCCAATTGTTAGACATCACATACACGTGCTGGACATACTTGCACATGTGTGTATTACATCTTTTTAATTCGTTGGCACTTTGGATGCATGTTCATAGATATATTCTCAAGATTTTCAGTGTTTCTGTGCTCCTCTACTGCTTCTCACTCAGTGCTCCTGTGAAGTTATAAAACAGATTATAAAACAGTATGTCAGCAGATTCCTTCACTCTGGCTCCAGTTCTGACCCAGTGGGTGGTGTATGCCATCCGGAACCTCACAGAGGACAACAGTGAGAACCAAGATTTTATTGCAAAGATGGAGGACCAGGGCCTGGCAGATGCGTCCCTACTTAAAAAAATAGGTTTTGAAGTCGAAAAGAGGGGTGAAAAGCTGATTCTGAAATCTACTAGTGGCACACCTCAGCCGGTAAGTACCCTCCCGTGAGCTGTCCTTCTCTCTCAGTTTGGGGAAAGCTGTGGCTGCTTGCTCCTTACCGTGGGCGTGATGAGGTTTATAAGAACACGGACGGGAGGATTTTGGCCTCTAAGATGGTTTACCAAAGAAAGCCCTAAATATAGTTGCAAACAATATTTTCTTCAGCCTTTATACTGCCATTTTTTTTTAAGAGAAAATCTCAAACTCATTCTGGGGGAGAAATATGAAAAACAAAATTTATTCATGGTCTAAAAGTAAGCTACTCACAGGAATTAGATTTTCTTTAAAAGATAGCTAATGTTCACTACAATAAAAGAATAGAAAACTCCTTGAATAATAATGAGTGAGTTCTTTCTGGTTTCTCCATGTTATTTGGGATGATTGACCAAAACTCTGGGGTTTTTCTTTCCCCTTCCTCTGATGATTCTTGTAAATACTCTTGTTATATCTTGTAAATATATTTGTTATATCTGTGATTTTGTTTCTTTTTTCTTCTTAGTGAATGAACTCCATCCCCATACCTGAATACTTGGCATCTGTTTCATGGATTTTTCATCTTCTGCAGTATGTGAACTTGCAAGTGTTTAAGGATTTATAAGTACTCGGGAACATAAGAATCTTTTAGATACTAGAGTTATGTGTGTATAAGCTCAAAGTGAAAGCACCTCAGTTTTCTCTTGTTTCTTTGCTTTAAATGTAACTGTCTAGTTTGCCTTTGTTCCCCCTGGGTAGAATATGCATTTAAGAAATAGATTGTACTCACTGTGACAGCAAATAATAAATCCTCCTCTTTGAGGGCACATCCCTCATTTGGCAAAGACTTGGATGTTTGCTTGGATTCTGTTTGTCCCTTCAGATGGCAAGTCAGCGTCTTTCCTTTTATTTTCCTCTTCTCACTGGGTTTTCTGAACTCTGGCAGGCCGCTGAAGTAGTTTCTCACTGTGATTAATTCTAGCAATCTCTTTTCATCCCTTCTGCCTTTCCAAAACATTGACAAGACTCATTTCCAGTTAATTAATTCGAGAACCCTCCCTCTTCATTTTAGGTACTGGGCTGTGTTGTCACTGAGCTCTGTCCCTTTGGAATGTAGCAGGGAGTGAGACTGCTAAGAGAACGTGGGGGGTGGGTGTTTAACTCTTCTGGTTCCAGATCGTCCCAGAAGCAGACTTCTCGGCTCCATTTCATGCAAAGGCAAGTTCTGCATCTTACCCACCTTCATGTGTATGTAATGCAGGAAAGGATGTTTGTTTGTTTGTTTTAATTTTATTTCAGAATTTTGGGGGGGTACAAATGTTTTGGTTACATAAATTGCTTTTGTACTGTTTGAGTCAAAATTATAAGAGTGCGAGAAGGAATGTTTTATGTTCTGCTCTGTGGGCAGCATGAAAGATACATTCATATCTTAAAAAAGCACTGGTCTCATAAAGGCGCCACACAGTTTTAGCTGTGCCTTTACTGGAATTTCAGGAGTAGTTTGGGGGAACAAGAGTATTTTTGACATCCACCTATCTCTCTCTCTGTCTGTCTACTTGTATCAGAGGTAGGACTGTATTCGGCGAGCACTAACCTCTTTGTAGACACCCAGATCATTTATATAACTGACAAAAACTCTAGTGGGAGGTCATCTGGTGAATGCTTAAAACATATTATCTTCTTGAACAACCATGTTACTAAATTACCTACAGACCTTGCACAATTCATATTGAACCTTCCAAAATAAAAACAATAAAGACCCAACCAAACGTTTTACAATAATATTGATTGCTGCAAACTAAAGTGCTTCTAAGTTGTTTGTACCATACTTAAGTTGCTTTGTAAAAACAGCTTAAGCATGTTGAGAATGAAATAAAAGCTTTCTCCTATGCTATCTAATGTACTCTATATAACTCTGAAGACACATCAGCTTCTAAGATTGTGTCAATCTAGGAATAACATTTTTTCTCTCATTTATGACATTCCCTCAGTGAAGAAGCCATTGCAAAATTTAAAATACACAAAAGAGTCATTCTCTTTTGGTGAATAAAGAGTTAAAGCTCTGTTCTCTAAATAGAAGCCTGGCCAAAGGAAAGAAACAGTGGGAGTCCCTTTTCCCTTTTAACTAGTTTGCAATAGACACTTCTTTTTTCCTTTCTCAATAGATGTATGCACACCAGTGGAATCACACAAACATGTCGGTATGAGCCATATAATAACAAACACAAATAAATAAAAGGGAGCCTTGTGAGAATACAGAATGGGTAATGGTTATGTGTTTTCTAAATAGGAAACATGGGGCCTGCACAGTGAAAACATGCTGATGACTGCATTGTGCCTGTTTTTGATTCCCTCGCATAGATTAATTCTTGAGCACAACAGCTTCCCTGTCCTCTACCAGTGGACTTGGAGCTCCTGAGAACCTTGTTTTACATGCTATAGCGGATTAATCACCACCTCAATCAGTCATTTAGAAGGAAGAAAAAAAGCAGGCCAGCTTACGAAATTTGTAAAGAGACAGAATGGTCACACCAAGTTTTGTGACCATATTATTACTTTCAAGAGCAGCTTGCCAAAGCCTTTAGTCTGCTCCATTTTAGCAGATAGAGGGGAATGGCTTCTCTGCTTGATGGGTCCAAGTATTTGTAGAATGATGGTTTTTTAATACCTTGATGTGAAGATTTCAAAAATACTTATTTTCACAATTTCAATAGAATCAGCCCACTTTATCCACAGGTTTCGCATCCACAGATTGAACCAACCTCAGATCAAAAATATTTGGGAAAATAAAAAGCAATAAAAAGTAACAAAACAACAACAAAAAGTAATACAAATAAAAAATACAGTATAACAACTATTTACATGGTATTTATATTGTATTAAGTATTGTAAGTAACTAGAGATGATTTACACATACAAGAAGACATGCATAGTTTATATGCAAATACTACACTGTTGTATGTAAGGCACTTACACATTTGTGGATTTGGGTATCTTTGGGGGGATCTTAGAACCAATCCCCTGCAGATACCAAGGGACAGCTGTACTACATACACTGTTACAATTTGTCCATGTTAATATAGCTCATGGTTTTGTTTTTAGAAGGTAATATTGAGATGCATCTTTTTGTTCAGTAACTTTAAAATCTAACCACAGGGCTTTCAAAACTACTAAGACATATTGTTTTGCAAAATGAGATATAGAAAATGATTGAGGTGATTCAGGCTACCAGTTAGTAAGTATAAAAAAAGTAATGTTTTATATGTGTGTATCTATGTCCATTCTCTTTGAAGTCATTCATGTGCTTCTCCGATAATAATACCTGGCATTTAAATGTCATTTAAATTATGTTTATCCTTTATTTCTAGCTTTGAATGAACAAAAAAAGATGTTACAACAAAAATTCCAATCTTTGCAAGAGGAAAACTTTTTAGAAATATATATAGTCCATCATCAGTAAGTTATACATATAAAGGAAACAGATTTTACATGTGAAGCAGCAGGATTTAGCAGAATTTTAAAATGCAGAGACATTGAGGAAGGACATTAACGTCTAAGATCTGAAACAAAACCAGCCCTTTGAGGGAAAGGCCTCTTGTTGCTGTCCAAGGTTCTGATCATTTCTGCTACATGGGCCTGTGTACAAAAAATCAGTTAAAACCCTTGTTTTCAAAATTCAGATTTTTTTCCACATGTTTGTATGACATAATATTTGTTTTTCTCTTCACCACACATTTTTATATATTTACTTGGATTTAAGGTCAAAATATTACATATTTCACAATATGAATTTGATTTACCATCTATAATATACATGAATTTTTAAGCTAAGCCTTTTCTGTAAACATAGTGGTTACAGTGTTAACTCACTCATCAGACTTTCCTCATCACAACTAGAGACATTTCTGTCAATGGAAATGACTTTTTGAAAATTTTCCATAATTATTTATTCTTGCTTAATTAAAACCTTAAATTAGAAACATTATATTAAATATTTCTTTTTGCTTAAACAATATTTTTATAGCCCATTCTTCTTCAGAAAGAATAAACAATATAATATTTAAACAACATTCTTCATTTACTCACAAAATTTTGTGTTTATTTTACATTTAAGCAAGAACTTAAATAACATTTTATAATATGGATATATATAATTTTTGCCACCACTTTGTAAAGTGTGTTGGCCAAGAGCATGGACTCGGAGGCTGGAGTTCTTGGGTTCCAGCCCCTGCTCTCCACCTGCCTAACCTTTGGCAGATTCCGCAGCTTGGTGCCTCCTTTTTCTCATCTTCAGCCCCCTGAAAATGGGGCTCATAATACCACCTGCATCATAGGAGTGTACGAGAGTCAAAACAATTGGTTATGTGTAAAGTACCCAGTTCTACTATCAATCTCATTATATGGATGAGGAAGTTGAGTCACAGCGAGATTAATGCCAAGGTCACACAGAGTGAATGCTTAGTGATTAATTGCTGTAGTTAACTGGAAGGGGATGAATGAGGGAAAAAATATGGCTGCTTTTTCCAGAAGCATGGAAAATAAATGTAGCAGAAATGCCTGGACTGTGGCTCTAGACATAGAGCAAGGGGAGCTATAAGGGAAGAACATGGACTTGGAGTTAGAAAAACCTGAGTTCAAATCTCAACTCCACTGCTTGCAAGCTCTCTGACTTTCAGCAAGTCGCTTAACCATTCTGAGCCTAAGTTTCCCCCTCAGGCACTGTACCATGCACTGGCAATACAGCAGTATACAAGACAGACATGGGCTCTGCTCTTTTGAGCTTACCTTCTGATGGGCATTACAGAAAGTTAAGTAAACAAATACATAAAACAAGAGCATTGCACATTGAAGTCAATGTCTTGAAGAAAAACAAGTTGATGGTAACCAGCATGTCCTTTCTGAGATAGCCACATCTGAGCAGGGCCAGAAGGTTGGAAAGGTGCCAGCCATGCAGAGCACTGAGGAAGAGCTTTCAGGATGTGGGGGCAACAAATACAGAGGCCTAGAAACTGGCCACCCGTCATCTACCAGGAGGTGGCTAGTGGGGCCAGAACCTGGTGGCCAGGGGGAGGATGGCGCGATGCTGGGTCAGAGGGGTAAGCAGGAGTCGGGTCACGCGGGGTCGTCAAAGCCAAAACTTGAAGTTTACATGAAGTGCATGGGGAAGCCATGGAGCCATTTTTAGCAGAGGAATGAGAAGATTTAACTTACAGTTTTAAATGACCAGTCTTAGTGGTGGGTGGAAAATGAACTAGAAAGAAGAAAGAGTGAAAGTGGAGCAATAGTGTGTGGGGCCGTTGCCATGGCGATTTAGACGGCGTGGAAGCAGTGGAAATGTAGGGGAGATCGGAATCCGATGTGTGTGCTGGGGGCAGAGCCCATAGGATTTCCCACCGGGCGTCAGGGTGGGGCAAACGGAGTGGGTGAGGTGGCTCCTGAGGTGTTGAACCGCCAGGTGGTTGGATACTCGAGGAGGTGGGACAGTCTAGTGCGAAGTTCTTGTGCGCGTCTTGTTTGAGGCAGGCAGGATCCAGAGTTCTATTTCAGGCGAATCGAGTGTGAGATGCTTTGGGGGTGTGCATGTGGAGATGGTTTGGTAAGTCCTTGTGCATATAGGACTAGTGCTCAGCAGACAGTGCGCACTGGAGACGTGGATTTGGAGTCACTGACTTTACACTTAGGTGATCAGAAGCCGTGGAAATAAGTGAATCGCCTAGGATGGAGTGTAGTCAAAGCCGCAAAGAGAGCCCAGCGCAAACATACGGCCCAAGGCTAAGCACACGCTTAACACGTTATAGCATGAGATGATGCCATATATTTGAAAATTCCTCATAAAAATTTGAATGG